AAGAAGGAATGGGACTTGAGCTTCGCAATTCCACCTCCTCCTGAGCCCAAGCGCCGCCTCGGGCTGTGCTGCAGGAGCTGCAGAGAAATGGGATGGGAAGATGGAGACATGGGAATGCAGCCACCCAGACTGGGCCCCCCCACCAACACGCAGCCTCCTCACCTCGGTGAGCAGTGACACAGCTGCCAGGCTGAGGCCCTCGGGCAGGTACAGCTGGGTGTGAGGTTGAATCCCTGAAGGGTGGTTTTGGGACAGGGGCTGCAGGAGGCAGAGGGTGATAGTGAGAAAAGGCACTGAGCAGGGTAATAACATCCTGCTAAGATTTCACCACCACCCAACGCCACCTAGCATGGTAGAACTTAACACCCCAGTACAGGCAGGAGCTCATCCAGCCTGGTTCCCACCACCAGCACCACACAGCTCATCTGCCTCTTACCACTCCTGTCAGCAGCTCATACAGCAGAGACCCAAAGCTCCAGCAGTCAGCAGCTTCCGTCAGCTCAGAAACACCCCCCACCTCTGCAGGAAGAGCCAGAGAAGAGTCAGAGCTTGGCGGCAGGGCAGTCCATGGGCACCCGGACCCGTGGTGCTGGTCTCACCGCATGCAGGATCTGCCCCCGCCCCATGCCCAGGGCAGGAGCAGGTCCCTTACCTGGGGCGCCGTAGAGCTCCTCCAGCGCCCGGCTGCTGCACCGCGGCTCCACCTCTGCCCACTGGCCGAAGAAGGTGAGGCGGACGTGACCTGCAGAGCGCAACAGGCCAGGGCAGCTGAGCACAAACTAGGGCCTCCAGCAGGAACACGGCCCTACACCACACTCCCCTCCAGCCGGAGGCAGGGCCACCGCCAGGAGCAGCCAGGGTGCTGGGCCAGGCCATACCCTGCGCATGGGGGCTGTGCTCCCCACAGCACCCACCACTGCCCCAGCTGCCTCCAGGCACCTGCTGCTGGTGGCTCTGCTTAGAGGGGGGTTCAAGCTCATTGCCCCGAGCAGACTGCAGTGAGGAGAGGCGCTGCCACGGGGAAAGGTTGGCGCTAGCTTGCCCCATTCTAGCCCGTTGATCAGGGGCTCGCACTCAAAGGCTTTTATGCACGGCAACAACTCAAGGCTTCAGGGGAAGGACAGGCTCAGGAACACCCAAGCAGGCAGTAACTACAGCCAGGGGCAAACCGCATTTTCACTAACCTCACACACAGTTTAGCTGGTCTCAGGCTCCCTGTGCTGGGATTTCCCAGCCAACCAGACCCCACATGGGAGCAGATGCATCACATTCCTGTGGCTGTGGCCCCTATTCTCCCTCTGCAGGGAGATTTTTTGCAATAAGCTCTTGAAAACCCCCGACATGGACCGCACTTCCATGCTCAGAGCCATCCAAAACTCCCCAGTCTGCCTCCCTCCCCCAAAGCACATTGAAGAGAATCTCCTGGAAACAGGGCAGCCAGGAGTCTCCCAGCCAGCTGCCCTCCCTTCTCCTCAGGGCAGAGCCTTGGGCACCACGTACCAGCCGTATCAAGTAGCACGTTCCTGGGGTTGAGGTCCCGGCACAATACACCCTGCTGGTGAAGTCCCTCCAAGGCCAAGAGGATTTCAGCCGCCCACAGCTGGACCTGCTCCTCCTTCACAGCCCAGGCTCTCTGGGTATGGCCACAGGGAGCCAGAGACCTGCACTGCGCAGACACTGGCTCCTCTCCATGAGGGCCACCGGCCATGCTCGCCCTGCACGCAGGCTCCTGCACCGCGGCGTCAGGCCTGCCTGAACTGCGCCTGGCAATTCCTGCACAGAGCTGCTTCCCTCCCGGGGCAGCCACGAGCGACTGAGCCCAGGGCGCTTCCGACACTTGACAAAACGGAGCCTCCTCCTTTCCTGGACAGCCTCCTATCCCCGTCTTGGGCATACGGGGAAGCCCTTGGCCAGCAAACAGCCTGGGATCCTGCTGGGAGGCTGCCCTCTGTGACACAGTGTCTTCACCCTCGCTGCTGGTTAGAGAGTCACAGGGGCACGGGGCCAGGCCCTGGTCGCTGGGGTGGCTGGAGGCCTTGGTTGATGCTGCTGGAACACGGTCCATGACGCCGGGCAGAGCTGGACGCCGGACGCTGGCAGGGGGCTCCTCCCGAGGGGCGGAGGGGTCAGGCTTTCCCAAGAGGCGACGCTTTGCAGAGCCCAGGGGGCCCCTGCCGGTCTGAGCAGAGCAGAGGCAGTCTCTGTTGCTCCCACAGGAGCTTTCCTCTGTCTCCTCTCTGCCACAGTCCCTCAGGGATGGAATGTGCTTGGAAGGCAGGGAGCCAGAGCCATCAGAGGAACCCTGCTGGACACAGTACTTGGAGCGGAGGTGAGACCACAGCATCTCTCCTGGAAAGTGAGAAGATAAAGTGCTGGGTAGAAAGCATTCCAGGTTCCCCGCTGTGAGCACTGCCTGTCCAGGCACAGGCCACGGCCTGCACGCTTTGCATTGCACAGAATCACAAAAGGGCTGAGGTTGGAAGGGACTGCTGGAGATCTTCTAGTCCAACGCCCCTGCTCAAGCAGGGACACATTCGACTAGGCCTTATTTTTTTCTGAAGAAAAACAGAAGTTCATGCAGAATATCCCCAAACGCCACAAACACCGATGTCACTGAACCCCATACTGCTCCGTGACCCAGCACAAGAGCAGCTCACCCTGCTCTCCTTCAGCAGCCTTTTGTTACCCCTTCTGCACAGCCTCATTGATACCAGCCACATCACTTTCATGTCACAGTCCAGCCACACATTCCCACACGCCCCTGATCCTGCAGCCATCCCCGCTCTCCCGAGAGCATTTCCCCCCTACCCGCCAGCACCAGCGCTGCCAGACAGAGCCCACGGCGCAGACCAGGGCACCAGGCCAGGGCTGAGTCAGAGCAGCCAGCCCAGAGCTCTCTGCCAGGCTGCCGGCAAGCTCACAGACCCGCTCATCACAAGGGGCCGTCTCGTTACACTCGGCTGCCAACTGCTTCCTGCAAATTCATTGCACAGCAACGCACGAGATGCTGAGCACACGTCACAGTGTGTTTGTCATTAATGGACTTCACTTGCTGCTTCCTACCCACCCACTCACCTGGCAGAGAGCAAAGAAACTCCTCACTCTTAGCAGCTTCCCCTTTTCACTCTTCTTTACCCAGAACCCTACGTTCTCCCTATCCTTTGTTCCTTGATCCACCATCTCTTCTTTGGTCTAGTCTCAAAAATCTAGTGTAGCCTCTTCTTTTTCAATCAGTTACAATGACCGCCTCATTCTAAATGTCCAAGTGAACTACCTCACCCGGATCTTCTTTTCCATCACCTTGCTGACATAGCCAGCAAACTGTGCCAGCAATAAAGAGACTTTTTTCTTTCCAAAAACCCTTTGCTGGTTTGCTTCCATCATCTCTCTGACCATGCCAGAAGGTGCCAGACCACATCACCTTCCCTACAGCAAGGTATGATTATATTATGACAGCCTCAGGACTCGATGAGGCTAAAGCCAGTTTCCACATCTGCCTCCTCCCCCTACAAACCTCTCTCTCCTAGGTCTCCATTGCTCCATTTCTAGCTCACTTGCTCCGTCAGCTCTTACCAAAACTCCTGAAGCCTCAATGAAGGTTAGTGGCTCCTTCCAGCCACCTTTCCAAGGAGGAGCACTTATACTGCCACTATAGAAAACAATCCTAGACCAGCAGGAGAAACATATTTGAGATCAAAAGGAAAGGAGCTTGACAGCAGGATGCTGTGTGGACAGGAAGCAAGTACAACAAAGCACTCACCCTGCACATGCTCCAGGTGGAGGAAGATGGAGTCCTCACTCACGTAGTAGCACAGCAGCTTGACCATGAAGGGGACTCCATGAGGAATGATGGTCTGCCGCTCACGAGCCTCAACATAGGATTTGGGGAGGCTCTAGGGAGGTAAATGGAAGTGGGTTTGCATCAGGATAGGTGCTTGGGCTCCTTGGAACCTAGCACCCATCAGGGCAGAGGCCAGCTGGGAAGATCTGTTGGTAAGTGCCCTCTGACAAGCCCCATGGCTGTCCTCCCCATGTCACTCACAGTGACTCCATCTGGGAAAGCTGAAGCTCATGCTTAGACAAATCTCTCAGGCCCTAGTACCCAGTTGCAGCTCTCCATCTCCAGCAATGGAGAGTTCTGCCAGTGCACAACACTCCACCTGCAAGCCACAGTGCTGCTCCGAGCAGTGGCCATGCCCCGCAGCTGCACCAGCTCAAACTCTGACTCAACACATTACTTCAAACTGCCTCCCTCTACTTTTTCCTGTGGAACTGACACGTCTCCCTGTCATGCCAGCCTCCTTGTCCAGTTACTGAAGTCCTTAAGTTTTAGCAAACAGCTGGTGTAAATGCACTGGGAGTAACGCAGGTGTAAGGCTTGGGTTGCACCGTTACAAGGTTGAGGCCCACCAGAGCAAGAGAGGAAGCACAGCTCAGGCTTACAGGAAGGAGGAGAGCTGCTTCCCCTTTCACTGGAGACGGCTGAGGGACGCGAGTGAACACAAAATAGCAGATCACAGAGGGCTTAGAGGAAAGTTGATGTTCGTATAGCCTTCCTTTGCTGAGCCACATTTAAAAGGTGCTAAACAGTATTCCCCACTCAGCCTTATTGGCTGGAAGACACCTCTCCCTCAGGATCACCCAAAGGTGATGATGACAGATGAGCTGTGAAGCTGGCAACACTCACCTTAAGTATAAAAGTCCCACCAGTGTCTGGATCTTGGACTATCTGCACCTATGAGCAGTATACACAGCACATGTCAAGAACGGTGACTGTTCTCATCCCAACTCACAGCCTGGAGTAATGGCCCAGATTTAACTCTGGAAATAAACTAAACTTCACTTAACTACCAGAGTTTGGTGTTGCTCAAACCTTATTCTTGAAATATCAAGCACAGAGTTAGCCACGAAGTCAGGGATTAGGGACTTAACCAAAGAGGCGACTACCACACCATTTTTTGCTCCCTTCACCAAGGACATATTCATCCAGCTCCTTCTGGGCTCTGTATGCTGTGCCGAGTTGCCCGCTCGGGCCTCAACAAGTTGTGAGAATTACCTTAGTCCTGACAAACTGGATGTGTGATGCATGGAAGGGAACGATGAATCTGTGCATGAGTGGAGATGGTAAGCCTGGCATCTTCACTCCAAGACCATGAACTAATAACTAGTTTATCTGCACAGAAAGCTTGTCTTCTGCTGAAGTCCAGCCTATCGGTAGACACCTACCATGACAGGATCTAGACATTCAGATTGATTCTCTACATTGGAAAGGAACGGAGGTGTCAGCTTCTTTGCAAGTATCTTGGGAGCTTTAAGAACCACAAATAATGGGCACATCAACAGACTTCTCATCTGACAAAAGGACTCCTACCCTCCCCTGAGGGTCTTCCTTAGTGGGAATGATTTGGATGAAAGCCCTCATGCTCTTTGGTGAGCACAATCAAGGGCAGTCACCTGCATCCAAGCTAGTAAGACCTTTCAGGCTACAATTGGCTTGGTCCAGCTCCCACTCACGCTCTCCTAGCTGCAGACATAGTCGTTACCTTATCAATCACTCCCACAACCTTACACCGTCTCAGGTTCTCCACTGCTGAGCTTAGTGTCCTGATTGGCCGGAAGCGCAGGCTGCTGTAACCCTGCAAGAGAAAATACAATTAAACTAAACTAAAATGAAATAATATAAACATATAATAAAGATGAGGCACTTAGAGATGTTAGGCAGTTGCCATTCTCTCATCCCCCTCCTCACCAGTGCTTCCTCAGGCCCTTACCCTGTCCTGCCCCATGTGGTCCCACAATGGTGTGTGAGCTGCAGTTTTCTTTGCTGAACACAGCTTGTTTTCCATACAGATGGGAACAGTTAGAGGAAGAAAACATTTCAACATCTAATAAGACGGATGCCCCTGTTGGTTTCCGTCCCATCAAAATGTCCATTTTTTTACTATTAAGAATGATGATAAGAAGCTACACAACACACCTGCAAGAGTCCTGGAAATGCCACGGACAGCCTGGACACAGCTCAACCCTTCAGTCCAGACAAGGAAAAGAGCTGCCACCAGGACCCCCCCGGAGGCTAGTGACAGTCTGGCACTTTCTGCACCCCCCGCAGGACATCTGGCCACTTGTGCACAGGGGGCTCAGAAGGTTCACTGTGGATGTGTTACCACCCTGAGGTGCCTCTCCACCACTTTTCCCCAGACCACGGGGCCATCGCTATTACACCCCAACAGTTCCATATTTCCTGGGATAAGAATCCCAAGCGTATCAAGCTGCGACCCAGCTCTCCCATGCACAGCAGACACACGGTTACTGCACGGGCTCAGGGAGCACCAGCACGTGCTGGTCTGGCTTCCACCTCCGGACCTGGCCAGGTCAGCCCCAAGGAGACTGAGCTGACCCTCGGAGAGGGCAGAGCCAGGAGGCTGCAGCCAGCCCCAGCCCCTCACCGTGTCCGCGGGGCTGCCGCTCCCCAGGCTCCGCTGGAGGTGGCAGTTGAAGATCTCCTCCGCGCGCCTCAGGTACTGCGTTATCTTCCGCTTCACGGCCTCGCGACGCTCCTTATTGGGGTCAACTGCGGGTGAGAGAGCAGGTGCCCATGGGGGTCCCCCCATCCCCACGCCGCCCCATGGCTCCCCTCCCGCCTC